GGCGGGGGGGGTCCCTCGGGGGGGGGGGGGTGCGCCCCGCGGCGCCCCCCCCACCACCTACTCTCTGATTTTGCTTGGTGGTGGCAATAGCTGTAGTTGACATCACCGGTGATGGCAATAGCTGTAATTGACACCACCGGTGGTGGCGATAGAGCTACCCATTTAATTTTCTAGATTTGATCTGCTGAGAGCAAGTCTTCAGAAATTCTTCTTCATCTCGAAAAGCAGTAAATATCTTTTACGAAGATGAAGATCGATTTGTACAACGCTGACTGCAGCAGGCGAAAGTTAAGTTGGTAAATTTAACTTCCTAGATTTCATCTTCTTGGCTCTACGTTGTATTAATACAAATTGATCTTTATCTTTGAAAAAGATACTTTTAAAGAATTTCTAAAGGCTTGCTCTCAGCAGATCAAATCTAGAAAATTAAATATGCTATATTTCATGGTCGAGACAAAACTATGAAAAATGTTTTTTTCAAAGCAGTGGTTAACCTTTTCTTCGAGAATTAACTGTAACTGGTAAACAGTCGTAAACGCTACACAGCAGTTACCGATGGAGCGATAGCCGTTAGCGCTGCATGCCTATCTTAAACATCTATTTATTCGTTCACGGCGACAATTGCCCTAGAAACAGTATTCTTTTTGTATATAGTAGAAGGACTTTTTTGTTCTTTTATCTTTCTTGCTATCAGAATAAAATTTCTGACTTGTTACTAGTTGAGGTGAAAGAAGAAATTCCACAAAAAAATTTTATTTTTCGTTCTTGTACGATGACAACAGAATAGGTAAACATGTGATTTACACACAATTAAAGAAGAGTGAAACAACGAAAGAAAGAAAGAGAAAACGTTGTCAAGGTTCCTGAAAAGAGGAAAGTTTAAATCTTATTTTGAAATAATGTAATCTGTGTAATAATATCTTGAAAAGAATAATGAAAAGACACAAGGAGTTGATTAGAAATAAAATTGTTTAAAACATGTTTTGCAACATACAAATATAGTAACTCCAATATTGAAAAAGTTAAAATGGACGCGAATGTTTCCGTCTCGATGAAACTCAACTGGAAACAGCTGGTCGAGGAATGCAGACAAAAGAATAATCTTCAATCACGCACGTGCAGACTATTTAATGATCATGAGAACGCTCTTTCAGCCGCCGATAAACGTTGTGGATGCAACAGAATCATACGTAAACACAGCTTTACTGGTGAAACCAGCCCGAATCAGACGTTTGATGAACGCATGGAAAAAACATGGAGCATACTGAAGGATACAGTATCCGTTCCACTATCAGTGTACGAAACACTGCAGAACAATTCAAAGGTAGAATTAAGTTCATGTTTAGTTTATTGTTTTATCATCTTATTGTGCTTTTAGTACTTACGATGCGATATCAAAAAAACTAAACTTGATACATTGTACAACTTGATTGTACAAGATTGCGGCAAGCCAAGCTTGATAATGAGTGTTTATGGAGGAGCAAAGTATTTTCGAATGAATGAACGTTTAGAAAAAAAATTTATGGAGGGTATCGTTAAAGTGGCAATAACTGCTGGTAACTACTGTAATCGTTCTTGTCAAACTGACCATTATTAAGATAAGTCTCTCATCTTATCTGATAAAGGCAACTGTTTTTGAGGAAAAAGTGTACTATTCAAACTGGCATTCTGTTGCATAGGACGAGTATTAAACTTTCTCTTAGAGCCAGACGCGCTTATTGGTATCTCGATTTCAAATTATTTTCCGTAGAAATGCAAATTGTCAAGCAACGTTTCGATCGAAGGACACATCTGATCGTGCTAAAAATTCACCAAAGATAGCAAAGACATATTTCTAGACCTATTTTTCTTGTTTTGGAAAATATCGCTTCGTGGTTGAAAACATTTTACTCCACTGATACTTCAGAAAAACAGGAGAAAATGAGAAGATTTTCGTATTCTTCATGTTCTAGCCGAACTAAGAGCAATTTTTATAAACAAAAAAAAGTAGATTTGGAGTTGTACTTGAGCGAGCGCCTAAGATAAAAATTTTGAGTGAATTGAACATGCAGCTTGAGTCGAAATGCTGTGCTGACAGCAAGACGTTCCTCATTATTGCAAACTCTGTAACTCCTGAACTAACGAGGGAACTGCCCCAAGTGTCCGCTCGGTTTTTTTTGTTGAAACCTAGTGGAGAATAGGTTATCGACTATGCTAATTCCGAATATGACAATGGTTTTTGCTGCTAGGCCTTCGGAGACCTTGTTTTCCAGAAAACCAGTTTTTCAGAAACCCCAAAGAAAAACCCGAACCTTTCGTAATGAGGCATGATTGTAGCCCGTACATTTCTGATTAAAATGAGACCTCTCCCAACTCTACATGACCTTTCCTTGCAAAGTTATAGAATTTACACGAAGAGCCCAAAATTAATTTCTTCTTATTTCTGTAGCTTTTAGCTGACAATGAACATTTAGGGCTTTTGTTGTAAATTCTATAACTTTGCAAAGAGAGGTCATGTGGAGTTGGGAGAGGTCTCATTTTAATCAGAAATTTGCGGGCTACAATCATGCCTCATTAAGAACGGTTTGGGTTTTTTTGGGGGGTTTTAGAAAAGCTCGTTTTCTAGAAAACCAGGTCTTCGAAGGGCTATGCGGAAGCCGCATGGTCGTATTCGTAATCAGTATGGTCGATAACCTATAACCCACTAGATTTCGAGCAAAAAGCGTTTAATCATTTCGTGGGGTTCCCTCGTGAGTTTAAACCAAAATCAAATAAGATTTCATCTCCGAATATCTCCGTACATGCGGTAGAGCCGAAAAAACTAAAAACCAAAGATGAAATCTCATTTAATTTTGGTTTAAACTCAGAACTTTCATCCAACGAAGTTGGTCAAACGAAGCAGGTCAAAAACGAAAAGTGCACGAAATAAGGATATTTTTTGTCTCCGTCCACGTACCAGAGCACTGTATTGGAATAAATGTATTTATTGAAACACCGACGTATCCGTGCATTGACAATGATGTCTAGATGTATTGTCTGAATCACTGAGTCAGCCAGATGCATGAACCACCTAATGGACGTTACATGCATTGTTCACAGCATTGCTCATGTAGCTGCATGGGCAATGTTATGTCGTTACATCGAGAAAAACATTTATCTGTATTTAGATGCATCTAGATATCACCATATCTATCTAGATACAACGTGCGATGTCTCGATGGCTTTCTTTTTATGCGTTAAGATGCATCGACCAGAGAACTGACGAATCTAGATACATTGGGCGATACTCCATGCTTTTTGTGTGCTTGGGATCCTAATTACACTTACCTAAGTAAACCTCTTTAGGTACAATTTACATCAGAACAGAATAAAAAATATATATTTTAGTTTTGTGTGCCTGTGGTACAGTGGCGTATGAAGAAGATTAGTAATTTTTTATATACAGAGTTCGGATCACCGCAGGAACTTGTTATTTTTCTTTTCTTCAGTTTTTTTGTTGTGTACATGTATATATGGGTCTATAGACTAATGTTAAAAAGAGAAAATATTAAACGACTAATATCAAAAATCGATTAAATATTTTTCCACCTTATTTAAATATTAGTTCGTTCAACATTTGTCTTTATCTAAATATTTTTCCTTTATTTTAAAATAACTAAATATTTTCCTATCTCGCTGATCTCATTCTAAATGAAGCAACTGATGTCGCAATTTGAACCTACCAAGAAGATGCGAATATGCGGAACCTGACTTTTCTACCTTATTTAAATGTTTTTCTATCTGAATAAAACAATTTAATAGTTTTCTATCTTACAACAAGAAAAATATTTATTAGTTCAGATAGAAAGAAACTTAAATAAGGTAGAAAATATTTAATTGATATTAGTCGTTTAATATTTTTCGTTTTAACTATTTTCGGTATACCCGTATATATATGCTCGCTGCAGCTAGTACTGAAGCGAGTTAGCGGGCTTATCCGCCTTCAGCTAGCTACACCTACTAAATTTTACTCTTTCAGCTAGCTGCAGTCAATGGAAAGGCGGGGCACTTGTTCATCAAGAGAAGCTAGCTTATTTCTTATGAAATTTTATGCCTGGGAAGTCATGCGTGTAAATATGTTAGTAAAAAAAATACATTCATGACTCACAAAAAGAAAATATTCGATTTCTCAATACTCGCCATAAAATGTTCTTGAGCTGAAGGACATGAAGTAAATCCGGATCATGTTATTCGATAAACAATTTTGTTATGCAGCTTTTCATGCATAACAATCCTCGTATATATAATCTTCACAGACTGCACCATTTTCACTGGTAGCTATCCAATAAAAATGATGCAGATCAGATCACTTATATTCCTTTATACACCTATATTGCTACTGGTATTGAATTATTCCAGCTCCGTAATCGGAGGAACAATCAAGGCGGGCGTACGTCATGAACAGTGGAAATTACTAGCCTATTCAAAACCGAGAGAAAATGAGAATATCGCACTCATTTTTGTCATCAAAAATAATGATAAACAAGTTTCAAATTTAGAACAAAAGTTCACACAAGTGAGCAATCCAATGCATGCCGACTATGGTAACTTTTTGACCTATGATGAAATACATGAACAATTGCTCAGTGAAACACCAAAAAGTGGTAAAATCGTGGAAACATGGTTAAAGAAACATAATGTATCCAATATCACATCGACTACTCATAAAGAGTTTCTAATTGTCAAGTCATCTTCACCTATTCATATATAATGTAACTGTAAGTTGAATCATGTTACCCTACAACTTATTGATTAAATGTTGATAATAGCGACGCTATCGAACATCAGATTCATTTATGTAAGGTCACCAAACAAATAGACAGTCAATGGTAGGTCGAATTGAACAATTGTTGCAAACAACGTTTTTCACGTATCAGCATCGTACTAGTGGACAACTAGCATTCAGAGCCAAACAATTCAAATTACCGAGCGCTATTTATGACAATATCGATTATATTGAACAATCAAGTGAATTTCTAACAGTATCAGGTCCAAAGATACCTGCATCAAATGAGAGCCCATCTAAGCATCCCCTAGCTGAGAGCATATCGAATGCTCCTAATGTATTGTTTCTTGATAGAATTGGAAAACGCATTGAGTTTTTTATTCAATTAATCTGTTCAAACGGTGAAAATGCATCTGATACCGTATGCCCAGAATTTCGAGGCTTCCGGATTGGTCTAATAGTTCTTACATCAACGACACAGATAACTGTATCATTAGTGAATGCCAATTGCCAAGTGTGTTATAAAGCTGGGAGCACTATTTATGATGCATGTTTCAACTATGACTTGACTGATGATAGTGTATTATGTCTCTTTTCTATCAGCCATAATAATATTAAAAAATATGAACAGATTACCGTTTCTATTGAATCAATATTTGTACTGGATGGTGAAACAAGTTATTCTGATTCTGCCATCCAACCATTTGAACAAGTAGCTCACGTTACACCATCACTTTTGGCATCATTATATAATGTCAGTATGAGTATAGTTAAACAGAAACGTCTCCCAAAGAGTAGACAAGCCGTTGTTGGATTTTCAGAATATTATAATTTGAAATCGTACAAAGCATTTGCACAAACTTATGGAAAAAACTTTAATTTAAGATTTGGTAAAGTATATGGAGACGATTACACGAACAAATCGTACGATGAAGGTGAAACATCGTTGGATATGGAATATATGGCAGCAATGGGTGCCGGTATTGTAACCGATTACATTTCGTCAACAAGTGCCGGTGTTTCATATGCGCCGCTTTTCGCTACATTAGCGCTTTTAGAGTCGAATAAACGTAATGTTGTTCCACTAGTTTATTCTATAAGTTATGGTACAGATTCAACTGATGTAGGACCAAAAATTGTTCGTATGAACGATATACAATTTATGAAAATGGGCGTCTCGGGAAAGTCGGTGTTTGCTAGTGCAGGCGATGATGGAATAGCAAGCTCGACAGGTTGTACAAAACGTTTTATAACAGAGTATCCGGCTGCTTCACCTTATGTCACAGCTGTTGGTGCTACACAACTGGTTCTCAGTGTTACGAACAATTGTCGATATATAGCACAAGAGCCTCGTAAATGTCTTGAAGAAATTGTTGCATATACAAACGATTTAACAGAATGTCTCATAACATCCGGTGGTGGATTTTCGATCTATCATACGAGACCAACTTGGCAAAAGAAAATGGTTCAGAATTATCTGAGTACTGCTAATAAGCGTCTACCACCACTAACATACTTTAACAAAAACAATCGAGCATATCCAGATATTACTCTACTTGGACATGATTACTCAACGAAACAGAAGGGTGGCAGAGTTGATTTGTCTGAAGACGGTATGTGTAAAGAGCGATCGTTACTGCGTATAATAAAACTCTTGTTTTGGTTTTTTAGGTACATCAGCCAGTTCTCCGGCTACTGCTGGTTTATTCAGCTTAATTAATGATCAGAGATTAAAACTTGGTATGAAACCACTAGGATTTGTAAATCCTTTACTTTATCAGTTAGCAGAAACAAATCCAGAGGTATTCTACGATATTGTTAAAGGTGAAAACAACTGTAATAGTGCGGGGGTATGTTGTCCATATGGTTTTGAAGCACAAAAAGGATACGATCCGGTCAGTGGTATTGGGTCAATCAATCATGGACTACTGATGGAATTACTCACTCAAAGGACTAGTTAATTGCAGTAAATCTCTTCATATAAAAAGAAACTCTTAGTTTCCACAATTCATTGATCGACGACTATTGCTTCATACTTAATAATACAGTTATCTGCACAACTTTTATTTAGCGCTTTCGTTTTATGTCACGAAAACAGACAATCTGAATAATAATAAATTTCAATTTTAAAAGTAAGTAACTCCAAAAATATGACACCTTCATATAGAGCATGCATCTTTAACAGTTGTTACCAACTCATTAAATTTCAATCTTGAAAATCTACTTTCTGGCCACTTCACTTAAATACCAAAAAAATGCTAATCTATGACAATTAGCAGCATAGCACTACACTAAATCCAGTCTTCATCAGTGACAGTCCTATACAAGAACTTGATACACATAAGCATTTAGGTTATTTTTAACAGATACTTTTGATTGAAATAAGTATGTCACGTACGTTTATAGTAAATGTAATAAATTTTTCTTTCTTATGTGTTAGCATAAATACATTTTTCAAACGTCATTACTTGACCAGGTTTATAAGACGTAAACTTGTCGAATATTTATATACGGATTAATAGTATGTTCGTCTACGTGTAAAAGTAATTTAATTTTCTTTCTACATTGTAATACAAATTTGCATATTTGATTTTCTAACTGATAAAAACAAAAAATTCTAAACTATGCAGGTTAGCTTGATATTTCGCAATCGTTTACGAACAATGTACTAATACAAGGTTTCAGAGTACTTAAGGGTATCATCCATCCCCTCTTTTTTGACTCTCTTGGAAACCTGGAAAGTCGATGTGGGATTGGGGTGAAATTTATACCAGAGATAAAACATCGAAAAACATAATCGATATATTTTTCTCGAGAATTTCCTGAGATGTCCTTATATGAGTTTTCTTGAAAACTCCAGCTTTCATTGAGTCACATCATGACTCCTCGAAAAAATGGCTGGATCCAGCTCATATTTTACTACAGTCACGTTAGACTCTATCTCAGGTTGGTTGTTTCCTTTTTAAAAAATATGCTTTCCTTCTCGAGATATTCCAAAACTACTAACAATCTTGTATAAAACAGCAGTTTTTATTTTAAAAGCTGTCTCATGCCGAAAGTTGAAATCGAAAGAAATTACATTCTAAGATACGGTCTGAAGTATGTCTAATAAAAATTTGAACTCGGTCGGACTATAAGACATCCTAGTTATTTGATTTTTTATTTCGGATTTTCTCTCTATTCTCTCATTTTATTCTTTGACCTATTCCTCTTTGTTAAATTGTTAATTCTTTACCCCCTAGTGCTAATAGAGTAGATTTGGTGTTGAGTTGATCGCAGGAACAGCTTATGTGGGTGCTCAATATGACAACGGTATGGTTAAATATGAGCGAAGTTCTTTCACTGTGGAGGGGCAGAATGAGCCATTTACGACGGGTTAAGTGAAATGAAAATTTGATGTTTTTGTTGCGTTTATAAAAGAAAACATGTACGTTCAAAAATTAAAACTTTTCTGATAACCCAAATTCCCACCCCATTAGGATTGGTGTTTCCCCTTATTATCATATTTCTTACCGGAAAAATCATTCGTGCAGCGGGTGATCCCATACCAGACCTCTGAATAAGAATCAAGGGTGGTCTTTGTTGTTGTTGCACAGATCTTATGATAATCGGATTCATTCGTTTGGCTCCTACACCTGATTTTCCAGAAAGTACGTGGTTTACATCAGGTGGCAGCAAACGCTGCAACCAAAAGAATACAAAATACAAATTACCGAGTTTTCGATAAACAACACCTTTCCCGATATTTAGCGCTTCCTGATATCGACATAGACACGGACCAAGAAAAACCCAAGGCTCTCTTGTTGATGTCGACGTCGACAACGATTAAACGACACAAGACTCCTTTGTTCATGTCGACGTCGACAACGAATCATGTGTAGTCCGTTTTCCGGCCTTTAAAAAACAACCTTTGCTTACTTTCAACGAATTTTGAACTATCGGATTTTCTTTATCTAATATTGTTATTATTAATGTTGTCGAGTTTCCGTGCTAAAAAGACAATTCCATGTCTTATCAAGAAGTCCTTTTCTAAATATTAAGCGATTGCAAAACAGAATTTCTACCTTATTTAACGCTCTGTGGAAGTCGACATAGACACTGACCAAGAAAACACAAGACTGCATTGTTCATGTCGACTTCGACAGCGATTAAACGATACAAGACTCGGTTGTTGACTGTCTTTGCTTACTTGTAATGGGGTCTGAAGTACCGCTTTTTGTTTTTTTAATGATGTTGCGGGACGGTGTTGCCGAATTTGCGTGCTAAAAGGGCAATTCCATGTGTTTTTGGTAAAACCTGTTTTAAGTATTAAGTGCTGCGAAAAGATATTTGTACCTGAGTTTCTCGATCCCACGCTGTTCCTTTTTTTTTGCCCTGGATTACTTATACCAGCCCTTTTCGTTGTGTTTTGCGCAAAATACCAGCATTTTTTGGGCGATCGTATATTCTCGATCCCAATATGCCGTTGTACAGTTATTACACGATGACAGTATATCTTTTTATTGTGCTTCCATAATTCACAACTACATTGAAAATTTGAATGATTTTTCTGATCGACAAGATATGTTTTGCTTTGATTCGACAACGACTCCACTATATATGTTTTACTTTTCCTATGGAATGATACGCGATCGAACTCAATTAACAAATCTGCTTTTTCTACTCTGGACATCGCGATTTTCGGTTGTCGTAATGGAGTCAACGGAGTACTATTTGATAATAACGGATCTGATTTTGACTGTTCATCATTTGACGTTTTAAGGTCCTGAGCGAATATTTGTATATTTTTTAATGTTTGCACAATAAGCTCTGGTGAATAGGCGACCAGATCTGTTAAAGCTGAAAAGTGTTTTTTTGAATAATTGATGCTCATCGTTTAAATGAAAATTTCCTAAATGCAGAACAAATGTCATCCAGACACATACATATGCTAACATTATAGGGCAAGGCAACTCCGACCGCGTCTAACTAAACCATTCTAAGTCTAAACCATCGACTTGCCAAAGACCTGAAACAGATATACAAAAACTTTTCTTTCTAAAATGTCTATTACATGACACGCAACTTACCTAGTTGATGGATATCAGGTTTTATCCATTGATGAAAATATTTTTTAAACTGTTTTTCCCACTGGTTTTCGGTTTCGATTAATAATTGTTCATATTCATCGTAGGAATTCGACGATAACAGCAATTTAATTTGCTGGATATAACGACGAGCTTTTTCACGACGCGTTTCTTTTGATCTGTTTGAATTGTAATTGTCAGTATTATATATGCCTAATTGCTGTTGTTGTTGCTGTGCATTGCTATGGTTTGTTGTTGTTTGAAATAATTCGTTTGTATCATCCATTTCATCGAAATTATTCTCATACAGTTCGTATTCTTCTTCATCATCATTAACTTGTTCACCAATTTGATCATCATTCATATTCAAACCGTCATTATCAGGCTTCTTTTTTCGTCGTTTAGTAAACCATCTTTCAATATTTTTGTCCAGGTGATTCCAATATCTATATTGACGTAAATTTGGAAAATGAAACATGAAGGCATTCTTGAAACTCTTTTCATTATCCGTAACGATAACGCACCGGCCATCATCAATCTCTGGACATAATGTTTTCATTATTTCGGTTAACTTGATATGGCAATCAAAACGCTTAGTTTCGTGTATAAATGTCGTTAATAATATGCCAGGATTTTTTTTGAACGCCGAATGCCGATATATCAATGTGCTTACGTAGACATCCGACAATGAAAATGTTGTATAGTACGATAAAATTAGACGATCTTTTGTAACGGCTAATAGTTCTTTAAATAACTTCAGCCCATCCGTGTGCACAAGACCGATACGTAGTTTGGCAGCAATGAATATGAATGAACAAAATTTGGAAGTTCAAATCCCATATCGTACACATTATAAAGTTCATCGTGTGATAGCTTTTGTTTTCGTAAATGAAGATTTCTTCTGCTGATAATTTGCTGTTCATTTCTAATTTTGTCTGCATTTTCATTACCACTTATCAAATTGCGATACACTTGTGCTGGTGTTATTGTTTCTACGAGCAAATCGATTTTGTTCAATACTGATTTAGGTGTTTTCAGTTTTTGTATGCCTTTTTGCTCGTCACCTAAATATATACAAAAAAGAACGATATATTTCCGCGCGCACAGTAGAAGTTGGTAAGACATTCTCTTACCAATGTAATGGACTACCATGTCAGATGGATTTTTCGATGATACATAAACATGTTTTTCAAATTCTTTTTCTTTCGATACTGTTTGCGCTACTTGATACAGTTTTTTAAATGTATGATCTCCGATTGTCATGCTACCTCGACCATTCCATTTCCACATATAATTATCTGATTTCCAATCTTCTATAGACATAGAAAAACGGACGTAGTGAGAGACTATCTTTTCAATCAAACAGGATATATTACCTCTTGTTTTCTCGTTTAAAGATAACCTATAGATACTACCAGCCCGGATGACATCGGGTAAGCTCGATAATTTCTCATTTTGATTGAAAATGTTGATCAATTTCAAACGAGTTAATTTTTCTCTTGTTGTACATCGGTCATAAACGAGACCTTTACAGGATTTTCTACAACAAGCAGAACTTTTGCTCGTGAGCCACAGTAAATACTTAGCCTTAGCATATTTTTAGTTGTCTAGCTGCTCTTTATCGACAAAACTGAGTATAAAACAAAGAAAAATAATAGCTCTTTTTAAGATCTCTCATTTGTAATACATCCCAGAGGATTTTTTTAATAACAAAAACTTCCTTTGAACGCGTAAAAGTTGACCTTTCGGACGTTTAATACGTAAGCTACAGTTTGCGTGTAACTTCTCTCATCCGACCATTTTTAGGTACGATGAGTAAGTTAAATAACTTGCAATTTTCTCCCTGCACAATATTCAAAGGCATTAGTAAGTTCACGCACGAGAATGCCTTAGAAAGTATTTTCGTCCATTTAATTCGTTCACATGGGCTCGAGTTTATTTAATGCGTTCACATGCATTAGATGTTAAAACTGCTTAATTCATGCAAATCCCATACGTTTTAACGAATTGAAACGCATTCAGAAATTGCAATGCGTTCACAGACTTTGAACAGTTTTAATGCACGTAAACTCGTTAGAATTTCTTGCATTTACATGAATCACAAATTTTAATAGTTAAAATGCATTAAAAAGCTTAATACATTCGCCTTGAAATCTAATGTCTTCAAATGCATTTGAACATATTAAAACCTGTCAACGCCTTAAAGGTTTTTAAGATCTTTAAATGCCTTAAATTTCGATGCGTTTGCATGAATTAAGAAATTTTAACGCGTTATATTAGATCTAAATTCAATTCTATTTTCATCTCTGCTGTGGAAATTGTCCATCCTGATGACACGAGATTTGATTCTACTTAACTTGGTTAGACTACTTGGTTCGAAAAAGTAGATGGAAGTACACGCTCGAAAAACGCTTCCGTTATCTGTCGACGAAAAATCCAAAATATTGAACAGAACAAATCATGATGATAAAAAAAGTTCAGTTCCTCAAGCAAGCGTCCCAATAGCATAACATAGCGGAAAATCTTAGAAAAATAATCGGTACTGATACCCACATGTTCATCTTGTCTGCTACTCACTTTATGTTCACAACCACTCGATTCTTTTCTCGTCGGATTAGGTGTAACATCTTCTAGGTCTTACCGAATGATTTAATATTATTTCCATAATCTATTCTGAACATCATTGACATACAAAATTTCAATAAAATCTTGAAAAAAAATCCTGAAAAACATAAGGTGAATCTGTCCAAATGTCTCATTCACTGTTGTAGAGTATGTGAACCAAAGTCAGTCACAAGTACTCGATTAGAGCGTGAAATAGTTTTGACAACTATGATCATGTAGATGCGGAGCTGTAGATTTTATTCCGCAATAAAAAAATAGGAAACAGCATGTGTAGGCTAAAGAGTTCACAATTCTCAGAATACAGGCGAAAAAGTTAGCCCAAGGGTCAAGCTAAAAAGCTGCCGCAATTTGAGAAAACTCTTGTTTCCGCAAATACCTCCCAATGATACAAACACAACACTTTTCTTTTTTCTCTCACTCGATGTTCAAGTAAAACTACTACTATAGTTGTCTAGCAACTTTAGAGCAAAATAATATTTATTTGGTTCGTCCATTATTTGATTCCCTTTTCCTCTTTCCTCTCGCTTTTTGGATACGCATTGATAAATAACGGATGGTGTTCTATTCGTTAAGGCTAAACTAATCAACAAAACTCCCCTTTTCCTTTTTCCTTTTTTTATGGACCACCGAAATAGACGGTCAACCTTTTATTGTTCGGACTAATATATACTGTAGATCTAATCATTTCTACATCGATCATCTCTTTCTAAGTCTTCCTTTTCGATACACGCATATATTGAAACACACATTTCTTCTCTGATGCGTAGACAATAGATAAGTGCATGTGCGTTGTGTTTAACGGGGAATTTTCCTACTATTAATTCATGCAGATAGATTGTCTTATGTTTTTTAACGGTGTTCCGCGTTAAACCGCCGGTTTTTGATAGACTTTTTTCTCAAGTTCAACTCGACCAGAAAGTTTGGTTCTGATGGTAAACGATAGCAAATTTTGTGTAGATTTTATTGATATGTTCTTTTTTAAATAAGCATGTACCGTTCTTTTGCATTGTTATTAAAAGTATTGGATGCCACAAAAACATCATTTGCTCAGCACTTAACTGCAATAAAATGTCGTTTTTTTTTATTTGCTAAATAATTTTCTATACGCTATTCAAACACAGTATGAAAATGTACAGAAACGTATTTGCTATTGAGACACAAAAGTAAATTTTTGGATTGAGTTTTATTGTGTTGAAACCCGTCTACAAAATATGCCTAATTAAATATTTGACGCAAATTTAAAAATTATAAATTTTTGACGCACTTTCATACCAATGAAAACATTCCACCTTCTTCATTCGGTTAGAAAAGAGATCAGCCCTTATAAAGCAGAGCATTTTGTAGAGCTTTAAATTCTGCATCTACTTACATAACAGGATAATTTTTGTAACGCTAGGTTGTGAGAAAATTGCAAAAGAAAAGTAGGATACCGTGATCTGTGAACATCGATGTTTTCTTGTTTTCAAAGGGGACGTAACTAAACCCAACACACCATGAGATTCATCGAAAATTCTACATCTCTTACTATACGAAAGGAATTTTTGAACTCAATCTAGCTGGCTAAAATTAGCTTTTACACGTTTCCGATTTTATATATCTACGTTTATGCAGCTTCGCAAACAATTGCTTTCGTATTCGGCAAAAAAATGTAAATACCAGCTTTACCCATGTGCTTAGGCCTTAAGAAAAGGTGCTGTATCGCAAAAGTTAATTAATTTCTTTTGAGAGTACATTATTTCTTTATGAATAGAACCGTAGAATTATAGAGCAGTCATCGTCACTTTTTTGCAGAACCGCTAAGTTATGCGTGAAGTAAATTTTGTCTTTTTTTTATTTATAGCATTTTCCAAGTTGACTGAATTGACTGAGGGTGATGCAAAATAGTACAATAATTTTTCTGTTGTTCTTTGCTACCTTTTTTAATAAATAAGCAAGTAAATAAACAAAACATCTTTCAAACGATAAATTAGAAACATTAAGAAACATCACACTTTTGACAGCATTCTTAACCTAGAAGGCCGTCCGGCCTACTCAGTCCCAGAGAAGCTTTTTCTTTTGTCATTTAACGTTTCAAGTCTCTGTTTCCCGGAGTATACTAAAGCATTTAAACACGGCATCATATAATTACATAAACGTCAGAAAAATCCTCAGCGATATTCCCAATAGCTGGAAATTCCTCACGGATTTTCTAGATAACTAAAAATTAATTCCATTTTTCGAATTTCCGAAAGTCCATATATAAAATCGCCGAGGAATTTCCAGATTGAAAATCGCAGAGCATGTTCCATAATTCTAGAAATTCGAAATGGAAATTCAACCTCGGTTTTCAAGAATTCTGACAATTATTTATAGAAATTTCGATCTCGAATCTTCAAAATGATGGAAAATCGAAGTCGAATTTCCAGCTTTCTTGTAAATTCAAGGAATTTATATATGAATTTTTTTAATATCGCCGAGCATTTTCTATAAATAATTCCCAACATTACAGTGTACTATTGAAAATGATCCGCTTATAAATCCATTACCAGACAGTTCCACTATCAGAGATGGGCAATGGGCGAGGATCCTCGCGAGAGCCGCGATTCTTCACGGGACGGTTTTTGTTTGATTTAATTTTGTCATACATCAACCAAATGACATTTTCTTTCTCATGTTTGTCGAAAAACATATGTCCGCATAATAAATAAATCTTAATCTAAAGTTAACCAAATTAGAAGAATGAACATATAAAAATTGAAAATTGAAATTAAAATCAGTTAAAAGTTACTTTTGAAATTCAGCAAGTTAAAACAGACTTTTTTCATTAAGATGAGACGTTCCACAAATTTCTGCGACCTTTTAGACCGAGTTATGAGGTTTTCAGGAAAGCACCAACGTCTTTTTTTGCACTAAATCTTTAGCTCCTTCGCGGGGAACGCCTCGCAACCTTCCTGGTTCGTCATCGCCTGGTACTTAGTCAAGTTTCTACTTCGCGGGGATCACCCCGTAACTTTTCTACTCCATCACCACTCCGTCCACCGTCAACTCTTGATAACTTCTTAATGACAAACTCTTGGTACTTCCTTCAATGCTCCTCAGTCCAGAAAACCTTTGCTAACATCAGCTATTCATTGATTCATCTTTGTTGACAAGAAGAACCATCACCTTTATTATAAAAATAGATCAAATATAAACGTAACATCTTTCGCTCACAAGAAAAAATGTCCTTCGCGGGGTTCACGTCCTGAAATTCTTGCTCTGTCATCGCCTCGTGCCTCTTAAAACTTTCAAAAGATCTTCCTTGCGTTGTCCGTTCCGTGAAGAATCGTGACTGTCGCGAGGATCCTCGTCGATTGCCCACTTCTGATAGCACAGTGGGCATTTTTCTGTAGAGCAGGCGGACATATGCTGTAGAAGTGATATGAAAGCCTATAAACACGTTTTTCTATAGGTTTTCGAGTATGCTCTTTCTAATGATGAGATTTTCAGAACCCAAAAGTAATTCCTTGTGGGTTTTCTGGAGATCTGTGGAAAACCCATAAAAAATATTTTTACGTTTCGAAAACCTCACTATTGGAGAGATCATATTCGAAAACCTATAAAAAATGTGTTTATAGACTTGTGTACTATTACTAAAATAAATA